ATTTTGGACAAATTCTGCTTCATATGAATACAAAAAAGGTCTGCTAATAACGGGGCGCAATTGGTACCAATGGAATTCCAATAGATTGTTGGAAGACCTGGTCTCCAAACACCACATACATATTGTCAATCAGAAACTCAAGTATCTTTTTAATGTCAACTTCAGAGTACTTGCGTGTACTATCAGAATGTTTTTAACAAAATAATTTTGCAAATGACCAATGACAAGGTAAGTAAATTTACGAGTTCCATTTTTATTGAAAAAGCAGCTGTCAGTGATATCAAAAAGCCTGGACTTTAATTTATCGTGAGGAATGGTTGTGTATAAAATTGAAAAGTCGTAAGTTTTTAAGCTGTTGATTTTGGAAAATTCTTGTGATTTCAAATTTTCCAAAAGTTCCTTGGAATTTTTAAGTATCCACATCTGATTTACACCACTTCTCGAATATATTGTTGCACAGTACTCTTGAAGTTTCTCATTCACTACTGTTAATATCTTAGTGAGGAGTAAAGAAAGAGGCTTGGTTGAACATTTACTGGAACCCGCTATGTATCCTTGTTTGTAAGGATTTTTATGAAGTTTCGGAATCCAATATAGTAAAGGTAATTCAAATTCAGTTTGGTTGTTTGGAATATTAAAAATATTCAAAACTGACATACGATTTTGAAGAATTTCTTCCTTAGAAATGGAATTATGAGTATAAGTTGGATTACCACTTGTAGAATTAAATCCAAGTTCCTCTAAAATACATTTAATATAATGAGCCTTACAAACAAAGACAATGTTGTTACCTACTTTGTCAGTAGGGACCACTACATACTGATCATTTAATCTATCTTTTTTCACTTCTGGATTATTGAATACAGAAGTATAAATGGTTCTCATATTGCCCCTTAATCGTTTTAAATCAATTCATTGAAGTGTATCTTAGAAATATAACCATAACCTTTTTGAAAACACTTTAAAATGTTTTTAAATGTTATATTGAGCCAGAAAATGTTTTAAAAAATGTTCAAATTGGTTTCTTTCAAATATTTAAAATAACTTTTTTGCCAATACAATAAGATGTTTTGTAGAACATTGTAGAATAACTGTGCCGTGGATTACAGTTTATGCGTAGTTCATAGTTCATATATCAGTGTACCTGAAAAAGTAACAATAATAATAACAATAAGGGGCTGACCCCTAAAATTAGGGAGCTAGAGGGGCCAAAAATGTTTTCCTGATATCTCAAAAAGTATTGAGAATTTGTATAACATCATAGAAGCAAAGTTGTTCAAAATGACAAGTAGCAGCTAAAAAGATCATTAAAAGTCGAAATGACGTCACTTCCGGTCAAACCGGAAGTAATGGCAGATGGCTCATTCTTGCTTATATGACCGTAGATGCCTCCTGATCTCAATCTCGTCTCATTGAAATATAGACGGAAGACTTATTTGTTGCTTTGCAACAAGCTCGTCTAGTTATTATTCTTTTTTTTTCCTTACCGATTTTGTGCACGTGATTTCTCGGAAACGGCTGGGGAGACTCACCAAACTGTCACATGTGATAGATATTTATCTGAACCTTATTGGAAATTTTTTTCGCTGATGATGTCACTTCCGGTAGTAAGATATTGATGATTTTCTGATTTTTAGAGAGTTGGCTTGTTTTGGGTTGTTCTCCTAAACGAATAAAGATAAAGAGATAAGATTTTCAGTGAAGGTAGAGGAAGGTTTGTAGATGTGCTATTTGACGTTCATATCTTTCCAGGGCCAATGGCGCCAAAGCTCGGTAGTGCTCAAAACATGCCTCAGAAACATCTCACAAAATTTGACACATTTTGTTTCATATCTTTTTTACCTGTAAACATTTTGTTAATATATATAGAACAAAAGTTGTGCAGAATGATAAGAACTTACATTTGGTATCAAGAAAAAGAAGCTGACCCCTCAAATTAGGTTCTCAGAGGGGCCAAAAGTCTTTAATTTATAATTCTTTAACGATCAATAATTTGTAATTAATTACTGAAGCAAATATGTTCATCTTTACAAGTTGCAACTAAATATTAAAAAAGTTCGATCATATATTACGCAATCAGGGGCCAAAAGGGGCCAGAATACTAAATCTTTGATGCTTTATATCTTGATAGGGAGAAATATTTTGATCAGCAGTATTGAATAAAAGATGTTCAGAATAATGTTCTTAACAATATGCACCCTTCCAAATTTTGCTAAACGGTCCCATAAAGGAATAAAAGGGCTGGCCCCTACATATTTCTTTTCTCTATATCTCGAAAACGGAAAGAAACTTCTGAATGCTCATTGAACAAAAAGTCTTTAGAATCACACGATCTTTTATTTGATATCAAGAAAAAGGGACTGACCCCTCAAATAAGGGGCTTAGAGGGGCCAAAAGTCTTTTATGTATAACTCTTTAACGATCAATATTTTGTAATTAATTACTGAAGCAAATATGTTATTCTTAACAAGTTGCAACTAAATATTATAAAAGTTTGATCATATATTACGTAATCAGGGGCCAAAAGGGGCCAGAATACTAAATCTTTGATGCTTTATATCTTGAAAGGAGAAACATTTTGAATCAGCAGTATTGAATAAAAGATGTTCAGAAAAATGTTCTCAACAATATTCACCATTCCAAATGTTGCTAAACGGTCCCATAAAGAATTGAAGGGCTGGCCCCTAAATATCTTTATTCTCTATATCTCGAAAACGGAAAGAAACTTCTGAATGCTCATTGAACAAAAAGTCTTTAAAATCACACGATCTTTTATTTGATATCTAGAAAAAGAGACTGACCTCTCAAATAAGGGGCTCAGAAGGGCCAAAAATCTATCTTTTATAGCTTTTTAACGATCAATGTTATAAATTAATGAAGCAAATATGTGCATCTTAACAAGTTTCAACTAAGTATTATAAACTTTTGATCATATATTACGTAATCAGGGGCCAAAAGGAGACAGAATACTAAATCTTTGATGTTTTATATCTTGAAGGGGAGAAATATTTTGATAAGCAATATTGAATAAAAGATGTTCAGAATAATGTTCTTAACAATATGCACCCTTCCAATTTTCGCTAAACAGTCCCATTAAGGAATTGAAGGATTGGCTCCTGAATATTTCTTTACAGAGCATCTCGAAAACGAAAAGAAATCTCTGAATAGGTGTTGAACAAAAAGTGTTCAAAATCACAAGACCTTTCATTTGATATCAAGAAAAAGGGGCTGACCCCTCAAATTAGGGGCTCAGAGGGACCGAAAGTCGTTCCTGTTTAACTCTTTAACTATCAATATTTTGTTATCAATTACTGAAGCAAAAATGTTTATCTTAACGATTTGAAACTTATTTATTATAAAATTAAGATCATATGTTGCGTAATAAGGTGCCAAAAGGGGCCAGAATGCTAAATATTTGACGCTTTATATCTCAACAAGTGGAGATATTTTAAAAAGTAATATTTAACAAAAGATGTTCAGAATAATGTTCTGAACAATATGCATCCTTTAAATTTTTGCAAAACGGTCCCATTAAGGACTTGAAGGGTTGGCCCCTTAATACATGTATTTCTATTCTACGTATCTCGAAAACGAGAAGAAACTTCTGAATAGTTGTTGAACAAAAATGTTTTAAATCAAAAGTCTTTTCATTTGATATCAAGAAAAAGTGGCTAACCCTTCAAATTAGGGGCTCAGAGGGGCCAAAAGACTAATATGTAACTCATCAATGATCAAGAATTTGTTATAAATTACTGAAGCAAAAATGCTTAACGTAACAATATGCAACAATATGTTGTAAAATTTTGATTCTCTATTGCGTAATTAGGGGCCATAAGTGACTAGAATGTTAAATCTTCTACACTTCATATCTCGAAAAGGGGAAAAAGCAATATTGAACAAAAGATGTTCAAGATTATGTTAAATATAAATCAAAAGAATGATATCTAAGGAGGGAAATCTTTATATCATTATCTTTTAACGAAAACTTAATCAAAATCACATCTCATCTCATCGAAAAATCGGACGGAAGACCTACTCATATATTACTACTTGAAACATGATTTCAATAGAGGTTTTAAATGCATTTCAAAACCTAAACCAGGTTGCAACCACTATTGTTCACTATTGAAATAAAGATTTTTATAGTGACTGAAATTATTTTAATAGTGATTGAAATAATTATTTTAATAGTTGCTGACAATGATTTCAATAATCATTTGCTCCATTTCTTAAAAGCAGGTTCCTCTGGTCCTTCAAGACATCGATTCCATAACTAAAGGAGGCCTAATGGTCACAAAATCAAAAAGGGAGCTATTGTTCACCATTAATTAATCTTAAAGAATTTGTTTGACAATAAGAATTCCAAATCGAGAAGAGCTTACGTATACTGGCAAAATTTTTTTAAAAAAAACGAGAGGATAATTTGTCATAAATCACAAATCAAAAGAGGAATATTCGTCACAAACACAAACCTATGACTGAAGAAAATTGCTAAAAAAAAATCAATGGCAATGAAAACTATATAGAACCATCTTGTATTGAGGTTCCATCTGGCATACATGTTTCCCTGATAGGTAAATAGTTCTTCTAGAGTGTCAATGATATACGATCATCCAATGCGTGACAGAACAAAATTGGTAATATTTACTTCGTCAGTCCAGAGACAAAATCTTTTGCCAAGTGAATACGTCTGAGTACAACAAGTGTTCTATGGGCTATAACTCGTATTTTAAAGCATTAAGGCAAGGAAAAAAACTCTCAATTTTTCCAATGATCATAGGATATGTGTTGTTTTGTACCAGGTGAATATTTTTGACACTATTTGTAGCTTCTTCTCAGTCTGAGAGGAGTGTAGCGGGTCAAAACGGGTCAGGGAAAATATCTTACCACCTTTTTAATTGTAGACAATTTATCTTATTACAAACGAGCTGAACAGAGTTCAACCTGGACATGTACGCACTTGAGCTGCTCTAAATACAGGGCTGAAAACGCAGTTGATAATGACAATCAGACGTGCTCCAGGAGTAATTACTTGGGAAAACCTAGCCCGTTTGATTCAGCGTGGTGGTACGTTGATCTTGGTGACATAAAAAGTATATATAAAATCAACATACTGTACAGGGAATACGGAGTGGAGTATGGTATGTTTCTTTTATCAAAAAGGAAATTTGTATCTTTTTTACACACCAGTACACACCAAAAGAATTATATCAATACATGTGCAATTTCATTTTTTTTTTTCATTTTTTCAAAACAATGTAAGTAGGAATTGTAAAAATTGCTACCAGACATTTATTTCATTCCATAAGCAGTTTAAACCTTTAATACAATGTACAGTAGTAAAATTATAATACCCTTGCCTGGTTAAGATATATCAATGAAAATGTAACAAAAGTCTTTTTCAATTTCTATTCAGTTAGGAGACAAAGAGGACGAATGGCCGGTTTTTCTTTATTCATCTCAAACAACACACAGATACAGGACAGCCATCTCTGCTACAAAGACGGAAATGAATTGCCTCCCTTGAACTTTAGTACAATGTGCCCTAAATATGGTCGTTATGTTTTCTTTTATAATGAACGATCAAAGGGAGTGAAATACCCAGATGACTACCAAGTTTTAACTCTTTTAGAACTATGTAACGTCGTTGTTGATGGTAAATATTTTTTTATGAAGTTTAGTTTCTCTTTTTTCACAGAGTTCCCTGCTAGACAATACATATATGATGGTTTGCAAAATATGATAATTGCAAATTTTGTTAAAAAAATGTGATGTGAATTTGAATTTTTTTTTTTTTTTTTTTTTTTTTTTTTTTTTTTTTTTGATATTCTCAATATTCTATCACGCAAATATTTTTGTAGTCACGTTTATAAAAGTGAATGAAAGTGGGAACCAATTTTTATTGTGTATATACATTACTACAAGTTAATTGCAATTCAAAGACGTCTTTCTTTTGTAGACATAAAGATGTATGCAGATTTGCTTGATGACGAATAAGATCTTGTCATTTGAGATTATTTCTTTAAAGCCTCCAATATTGTTTAATAATTATAATTATTATATGTGGCATGTCATGAATACTCTCTTACCTAGAGTTTACATACATTTTAATTACATAATTAAATTTTCATAAAGTGAAATAAACGCTTGAAGAATACATATTCAAAAAGAAACGTTTAAGAAATACTTCATTGATATCGAATAAAAATGTTATACATTGAAAGTAAAGTTCTTTTCACTAGGATGTGAATCAGGAATATATGGAAATAACTGCAGCTTAAAATGTCCAGTCAAATGCCTGGAACATACCTGTGACATTGAAAGTGGTAATTGTTTCGAGTGTATGGCAGGATGGTGGGGATCAAAATGCCAGGAAGGTAAGAAACATTTCTTCCCTGTTGAAATTATATGGATCGGTTTATCAAACTTATTGAATAAAAACACTAGTATTTATAATACCATGCACAGGAGAAAAGGGGGGAGGGGTGATAGTGTGGAATGAAAATCTCAGCGTTCAAAAATATGATAAACTGCAGATGTCCATACAGGACTGATACCATATCTGCAAATTTGGTTCGATACCCCCCCCCCCCCCCCAAGATAAACCGGAAAAGGCTCTAAACATCAATCATAACCTTGAGGCTATACAGAAGGACAGATAAAAACTGAGGGACAGAGTGATACAAGGATGACCCCTTTGTAATAACCTTGTTGCGGTATACGAAACTTATCACAAAGAATGAGGTCTTCCAGTGGAACAAGTTTGATAAGTTAATACTTTCAAAAACATAGCATGGAATAACACTAAATATATTTAAGTTAAAATGTTTAGATATGTATTTAACCAAAAATGGTTTTTATCATGAAACCTTGCAGTTTTGATATTGAATGAATTTGATCTTCTTTGTTATATATAACGTCTTATATCATGCTGACAGAATGCAGAGATGGTACATATGGTTTAAGATGTAGATACAAGTGTGGACACTGTTTAAATGGGACACCTTGTGACAAGGAGACGGGAAGCTGTGGGACAGAATGTGATCCTGGCTATCTTGGAGACCTTTGCAATAAATGTATAACTCAATCAATTTTCATATCATATCGTGGCATTTATTATACTCTGTCGTAATAATATGGCCAAAGAGTATTGCATATATGTGAACATATGAATATATAAAATGGATAGTACTGATTCTTTAAATATTGATAGTTTATTTTCTACTTTTCCTCCAGCGTGTGAAAATGGGAGTTACGGACAAAGTTGTAAATACACCTGTGGACACTGTTTCAATGGAGGGCCCTGTGATAGGTTTACAGGGTTGTGTAACACAGAATGTGACAATGGGTATTTTGGAGAAAAGTGTAAACAGATCTGTGGACACTGCTTTAATGGAGCACCCTGTAACTGGTCTACGGGAATGTGCAACACTGGGTGTGATCCCGGGTATTTCGGAGAAAATTGCAAAAACACCTGCGGATTCTGTTTAAATGGAACGCACTGTGATGGGATGACAGGAAAGTGTAATACAGTTTGTGACCCTGGGTATTCCGGAGAAAGATGTAAAGAAGGTAAAAAGATCATTATTTTATACGTTTATTATAACAAAATCATAATATATAATTGTGCTTGATCAGTCAAGATTTAAAGACTTGAACGTTACATTCATTAGAGTCATGTGGAATCATTTAAAACTGTTTCATACTGTTGGTTTTAATTTTGGGGATCTATATAAATGAAAAGCGAGAATATTTGAATGATTTTGAAAAGCTGTTTTAATGATTTTAGAAAAAAATGTGTTTTGTAATTTTGTTAGAGTGTTCACCAGGAATGTTTGGGAAGAATTGCAGTTTTTACTGCAGTGATCACTGTTCACACCAGAGTTGCTATAATACGAATGGGAGTTGTAAACGTGGATGTATTCCAGGTTACAAAGGAAACAACTGCGAAGACGGTAATTATTTAAAATCAAAAAGGATACTGAATTATAATACGGTCATACATGTCAATATGATATTTTCTGTATAAATCCTTACAAATAAAGGTTTTTGACACAATGATATGTTTTGGTTCCTTTTTTCAGTTTGTGAACCTGGATTCTACGGTACAAATTGCAGTGAGGTATGTTCCTTCAGATGTCTAAAATCTTGTAACCACATTGATGGCTTTTGTAGATGTACCGCTGGATGGAAGGGTCCCCCAACATGTGCCACAGGTAAAACAGGCGTATTTTTAATAAATCAATGAGAAGTTAAAAGTACGAACTAACTTTCTCCCCAAAACACATATTCTTTGTAAGAAAGTTACAGTGAAGATATAATAGAAGAAATTTTCTAAGTGTATTAAGGAATAATTAGTGTATAGAAAAAATATCATCGACTTCTTAATTGGACGAGATATTCATTTTGTTTTCTTATCTGTTTGTAACCCAGAGTGTCCTCCAAACTTTTTTGGCATTGACTGCCGACACCTGTGTAGTGATCACTGCAGTAACAATGATACCTGTAATAGGTATGACGGAACGTGTGACGGCGGGTGTCAAGAACCATTTATTGGTCGTATCTGTGACCATCAAAGTGAGTTTTTTAAAGCATTGTTTTGATAGGTACTGAAGTTTCTGAAAAATATTCTTATTACAGTACGTTTCAAGCCTTATGAAAATTATCGCAATGTACTATATCTTTATTCTTTTCACTATATATTCTATTATATATTAAATCTTTTGCTACTATAAAGGAATATACATAAAATCCATTTTTATTTTTCTTGTACAATGAACGAATGAACAAATATTTTCCTTGAACAACTTTTTTTGTTTATCTTGTACCAAACAAATATCTTCTTTTTTGATTTGTACCAAAAGTCATTGATGAACGTTAAAAAAAGAATATTAAGGTGTTTTTTTCGATAATCGATGGAAGTCAATTTCTGTCGCTTCAGTGGAACAACACTGGTAAGATTTCATACTAAAATTTACAGAAGAAACTATAGAAAACATAAGCACAAACGTATAAGAAATCTCTTATGCGTCTATGTATGAAGCCAGACCAATGAAAAATTGTCAAGAATTAAATGTAAATCAACTTGAAGTAGAATTTATATAATTTATGATTTATATATAAATTTAAAGATAAAAAGTTTGTGGGAACTTAGAAGGAAGTTTTTTCAGAAAATTAAGTTAAATTTACTGCATGGTTCTATATTTAGTGAATTTTAGTTTGGTATATATCCGTTTCCAAGAGTGATTCATATAAATTCTGTATTTAAATGCATTTTTAACAATATTAAATGATTTGATACTCAACTGATCTAAAGTTTTTATTAATTACAGATTTTACCGAGTATCAGGAAGTAAGAATATGTATTTATAAACCCCTTTCTACTGCGTGGATTGCAGGAATGACTGTTTCCCTTACATCAAATTTATTTGCCATTTCCATCATCATTTTTGAAATAAGGTAATCTCGTAAAGTTTGTTTTGATTTTGCAATTTTAGGACTTTTTTTGAAATACATGTAGACATTTGAACTGGCCAAATTATCTAGAACTGTCCTGACTGTATACATGTATCTATATTTGCTGTTTACTGATTGCAGCGCACAGATTGAATTTCCCTAATTTAATCCTTTAAGCTACTTAATAAGGCAAAAAATGCATCCCATATTTTTGAAAATACAAAATTTAAAAAAAATGTTCCTGGTTGTCTTCAATTCAGATGGTTTGGAAATATTAACAGGTATTCTCTGTAAGCACTTCAAAATTTCACTAAAGGGCTTGGAAAGGACATGTCTCTGATTTTGATGGAATTTGCATCACGTAAGAAACTAGCAAATATTGTGTCAGAAGTTTTACAAGTGTACCCGGTTGTCATGGAGAGGATCAATTGAATTTTTTGTCAAACTTTTTTTTGGTGCTTACAGAGAATGCATGTTAATTATCAATTATTTGCTGATTTACTGATTATTTGCTGATTTGCTAATTATTTGCTTATTTTCCTGACTTCTTATGATACCTGACCAGAGTATAGTAATATAAGTTGATTTTTTAAAAGTCATGTCAAACTTTTGATAGACAGTAATTTTGACTTTTTGAAAGACTGTGGGGCAATTTGACCAAGAATTCAATATAAAACTGATTTTAAAAAAAAACGGACCATTGAGACAACAAATAAGCATTCTTTATTGTAAAATAACTTGAAAAAATGTTTTATGCTTTATTTAAATTCTATTTTCAGAAAATGTCTATCAGATGCAAGAGCAAACAAGAGACCAGAAAAGTATGTTACAATGACGGATTCAAGGACTTTGGATAAGGAAGACAAGACTCATAATTATGAGGAAATAATCAGCCCTGCAAATTAGGAATATTTATAAAATGTAACATGGGATTTCTGCTGATGATCTTTGCTCTCTATGATCACCATGCATTCGAAATTTTTTTTATTCATTTTATACAAATAAGTGTTGAAAAAATGGATTATTGTACATGTATTAATTCTAAGTTTTAGGTTTATTCAGTTTTTATGTTAATAAACGCTCAGAAAACTGGGATTATTACTGTCACTTACTTGGCACTAAATAGACTGGTTTATTCTGATTAGATGAGAGAGACTGCATAACATGTCTAAGACTCTAGAATACACACTAAAAGTGATTTTTGAAACCCCAGAATATTTAAACACATTTTATGATTTAGCAGGTACTAATTTTGTCTTTGTTTGTAAGGCTCATTATTATAATTATATTTAAGAGGAATTTACATTTAATTCTGCAAGTGGTAACCCAACTTATACCCATAGTTCCCTTTCTAACGAAAAAAATCTTCAAAATCATGTAATTTTTTTCTCAACAATCAAATTGAATTACCATACGTATACTGGACTACTAAACTACATGAAAATCCTCACAAAGAAAGATAGATAGCGGGTTTCAGTAAATGCTCAACTAAGCCCCTTTCTTTACTCCTCACTAAAATATTTACAGCAGTGAAGGAAAAACTTCAGCAGTACTGTACACCAACATATTCGAGAAGTGGTGTGAATCAGATGTGGATACTAAAATAAGTCCAAGGAACTTCAAGAAAATAGAAAATCACAAAATTTTACCAAAATCATTAACAACAAAATGTACGACCTTTCAACATTCTGTACAATCATTCCCAAGGATGAATTAAAAACCAGGCTTCTTGACATCAGAGACGAATGCTTTTTTTTTAAATGGAACTCGTAAATTTAAATGTACATACCTTGTCATTAGTCATCGGCAAAATAATTTTGTTAAAAACATTCTGCTTGTACACAAGTAGTCCGAAGTAGATATCAAACAGAAGCTCGAGTTTCTGATTGACAATTTCACATTCTGTTGGTATTCCCATTCGTTGTTATTGCACTCAGTTATAAGCATATCTGTAGTCATATGAAGCAGAATATATTCAAAAACTTCTACATGAAAAGAAGAGGTTTCTTGTTGTGGCCTTCAATTTTGAGTATTAGTCATTTAGATATATCAACTACGTTTTATCAATTAATAATATTTATTTTCATACCTTCTTTGATTGGATATATCCCTTTGAACTCGAAGTAAAAGACACCACAAAGTCTGATATATATGTTTCATAATTAGAAATTTTACTAAAGAAAGATATTAATGGCAACTTAACAACAAAACTTTTTTAATAAACCTGATGACTTCAACTTTTCTATTGTCAACTTTCCTTATTTATGTTGCAATAGACTTTTAACACCTGTATATGGAGTTTATGTCTTCCAGTTGATTTAATTCGCAAGAGCATTTTCTAAGTACGAAGAAATGTTAAAATGAGGCAAACTATTGACAGATAAGTTGATGATACAAGAATATCATCAGTCTTGTTTAAAGTCAACATTTTGCAAATTCTATGGTCTATACAATGAACTTGTAAGCAAATACAGTCTATCATTAAGTCAAACGCTGACTCATCATTTTCACACTGAATTGTCTACTCTTGTGTATTCCCAGATTACCCATCATTAAGGATTCCAACTTTGTGCGGGATGTAGCAGCCGTACCATTCCCCCCAAAACCCTGATGTTCTGCACAACAGCTACATATGAAAAGAGAAGATTTAGTTTCTTGCCTGTACTAGTCCTCATTTGTCACTATCGCCATGCAGACTCAACAAAACAAAAGTGCTTGAGCACTATAAGTAAACCCATCTCATTCCCTCCCTCTCACATTGGCCTATAAAAATTCTTGTTTAATTTTCTTATTTAATTTACCTTTCAATTAAATTATTTACAGAGATTAATTATCATAGGTGAATGACAAAGGGGAATAACTTCTCTCAGTAGAATACAAATCAATGGATCCCTGCCCAGCACCAGAACACTTGACCACAATTTTTTTTTTTAAAAAAATCTTGGAAAAATACCATTGCTTATTACAACTTTATACTCTGTTTGCCTACTTAGTATTAAGTACTTTGTACTAAACACTAAATTTTTCTGCTAAATAGCCAGGAGCAGGGAAGAAGATTTTCAAAGAAGTAATGCATTTTCATTTCATAATCAACCAGAGTCCTTGTTTTATGAAATGTTTGTTGCAGATTAAGTATTTGGTTTGAGCATAATAATTTGACCAATGCTGCATAGCAGCAAGATATATGCATATACATAGAAAGGAAACAAAATCACTTAATTTCTAATTGTTCAGAATGTTATCCGAATTTTCATTAAGTCACTAAGATGTGTATTTATCAGATATGTTACAATTTATATGGTTGACTTGTATGCTATCGTTCAGAAGTCTTGCCAAATAGTGTTTGACAAACGTTAAAACAAAGATGTTTACGGTGCTTATTTAACTCTTTTGTGGAACCGGTGAAACCAAAGCTACGGAGGAAGCGAAAATTTGTCTTTGATCTTTGGAATAATTATTTTTAAAATAGACGTAACAGACAATATGTTCAAGTTATTTGAAATCAAATTATTTGAAGTGTTAGCCAGATCCAACTGCATATACGTACAAAGAAAATATGCTTGATCACTTTCAAGACAGGGTATGATATAAAGCAATCATATTTCAACGAGACATGTCCTATTCATTTATGAACATTCAAGTTTATTTTCCTGATCAAATGAGCAATACTTTAAAATAAAATACACCAAAAAGCCATAAATAAGTGAACATCCAGTGCCTCCTATTTCAGGGACACAAGTTGCACACAATTTTTTTAAATATTTCCTTCAAATTGTTTTGAGTGGGTTTATTATGCAATGGGATTAATGGGGTACTCAAGGCATTAAGGAAAAATTTGATGCAGGAAACTTTGTAGAAAACTGACAACCCTTGTGCAGAATGAACAATAATTTCTCTTTCAAAACTGACAAAAAATATTCATGCAAATCAACTGAAACTTGTTTCTTATCAGCAGTAAATCATTGTGTTATTTCTTTACATGTAATCTTCCGATATTGCTTTGCTGATATTTACTAAAGACATTTCGTTTGGCAACCACACAGGCCTAAACAGAGCCAATACAGCCTCAAAAATTGTAGTCAGTTTGTTTGGGTTTCTAATAGAATTATATGTTCTCATCATGCTTTTTATTATTGCTATCGTAGGAGAATTAATGAACTGTTTCGGATATGGTAAGTAAACATTAAAACATTCAACATAAACTCATTTTTTTATATTGATTTAGAACTGTTTCACAGAGTTCTGTTTATTCTTAAGAATATCATGATTATCGGAGATGATTCGACAAAATGGGTTTATTTTAATACGTAACCCCTTTCTCCTAAAAGGAAAGAGTCGACATTTCAGGGAAATGATTTGCTGCAAAGAGCTTGGTCAATGTTTTATAAAGAGTGATTAATGCTGTTTTGGTTACATTATTTTTCATCTAATTTTAATAATGGCTGTAGAGAACATTATTTACACACTGAATTGTCGCCGGATTTTTCCGTTATTTACCGATCATGACAAGGAGCACACGGCGGGCGTAACCGGTGACAGGGGATGCTCACTCCTCCATGGCACCTGATCCCACCTCTGATGTTTTTGGAGGTCCGTGTTTGCTCTGCTCCCGATTTGTATTGTTTAATCGACTTTAAACTTGAATACTGTTCGTTATTTCTATATTTTATTTATGACATGGTGAGTATTCATTAAGATTCCGATTGTCGAATAATGTCCCGAGTGGAATTGTTGACTGGTTTTACCTTAATTTTTTTTATTAAGAACCTGGAAGTCTGGCATTGTAAAGTTGTTCAACATCTGGAAAATAAATAAAAATATGCTTTGTTTGTAAGGTTGATAAATATTTTTCTACCTGTGACTGTCTTTAGAATTGTTATACCCAGCAAAGAAAAGTCTTCATACATGTATTCTCTTTTTAGAGAAACAGTCAACATAATTGATATTAGCTCCTTCGAAAAATATTGACGATCATTTAATTTTTACTGTTGACCGGGTTGCCC